TCTCCTCTTGTCTTGCCTTGATGTCTCCCTATCAGCTATGCTAAAATGCACTAGGATGGCTAAAGGCAGGTAGCTGGAGGGAGTCAGGAGGGACCACCTGACAGTCCTTCCCATAGGTAATAAAGGCAGCTTTGGTGCCTCCTCACCCCTGCCTCCCTTTTGGGCCTCTTCCCTTGTCCTGGCCTTGGTATACTGCCCCAGGTGTGAGAGCAGGCACCGGGGGCTGCCAAGGGCACCTACTTGCTGAAGTCGAAGAGGAGCTTCTCAAAGATGAGGATGGGCCCTGTGCTGCTGAGGATGATGAGAGGCTGTCCCGAGAAGAGGCAGAACAAGGCGCCAGCCATGGCAGTGCCCAGGAAGCTCTCCATCACTCCCTGGGGGCATGAAGAGTATGAGGCTCAATGGAGGCAGGAGAAGGGGCCTCTTGGCATAGGTTAGAATCCAGCCACGGGCTCAGGCCACAGTGCTCATCTTTTATTTTGGGCCCTCTCCTCCCAAAATCACTATGTTGTATATCTGAAAACTAATATAACATTGCATGTCAACTACCCTTCAATAATAAAAATTAACAAAAAAACATATAGTGCAATTAATACTACTTAATACATAAAATAAACGTTGAACAAGTTTGATCTATTTATGTCATCCTTACATTTGGACTTTAGTAACATGATTTAGCTTTAGGTCTTTTAATACTATCAGCTTATTATTTTTTGAAGGGTAAAGGATTACTAAAAATGATAGTCTGAACCCCATGGTGGATGAAACCCAAGCCTTGGTTTTGGGATTACGGGATGAAGCTCCTTACCGCCACCTGGTGGCATCAGATTTTATGGAGGTTTGCACTCCTGTCCACAGCTCACACACACCTGATAATTGTCAGTGGCATCCCCCAGAAGCCCACCAAAGGTGATTGCGTTGGTGATGCAGCCGAGGTAGATGAATAGGATGGCAGAGATGGACTGGATGTGGAAGCCGTCATAGAAGTCACTTGGGAACCAGGGCAGCTTCCTCTTGATATCCAGAAGCAGGCCACCGAAGAACCTGCTCAAGACAGGCCCAGGGGCTGCTTTCTCCCCACAAACACCAGCACAGGGGCAGGGCTATTTACAGGAGCCTGCAGAATCTGGGGCGAGGAAGGGAACTTGACTAGAGGGACCTTTCTACCAGAACATTTAAAGGCAGGGAAGGATTTTTTGCAGGAATGAAAGTTTGTGGTCAGCATCATCCTCACTGGAAAGGTGGTCATGACAGCCTGGATGCGAGAGAGGGGAGGCCTGATGGGGACATGTCCTGGAGTAGACCTAACATTCCATGGGGAACGGAAATCGTGGGGTCCACAGAAGTCCTAGACGTCCTCCTCAGAGATGTCCCTGATCATCTGCAGGGCATCTGCCTGTGCTTGGTGAATACAGGTGTGTCCAACTTTAGGAGAAAGAGACATCCGATATTCATCACGGGCAGGTTCTGAATCTTATAACTGGTTTCTTTATTCTCTGGAACAATTGAGTGGGGAATTTCAGGTTTAGGGACAGTGTTTATTGGGTCTACTATTCCCCCACAGCTCCTAAGGCAACGCTTGGCATGGAGCAGGGTTTCTCGGCTTTGGTACTACTGACAAGTCGGGCTGGGTAATCCTTTGTTGTAGGGCTGCCCTGTGCCTCATAGCATCTGTCCACTAGATGCCAGCAGCATCCCCCTCTAGTTGTGGCACACAAAAATGTCTCTGGACATTGCCAAATGTGTCCTGGGGGAAGATGGGGGTGCAGGCAAAGCTACCCCCAATTTGGAACTACTGGCTGGCATAGAGCCAAAGGCATATAAAACATGACTCCGTTCTCAAAATCATAATTCACACATAGCTTTGCAGGGCCATGTCCTTTCCTAAATTCAGAGAAACCTGAATTATTCTAAGAGCCAGCAAGGAAACCCAACCCAAAGTCTCTCACCCTCTCTCTCTCTTAAACAAAGAAAAAAGGGAAAAAAATTCAAATGGTACTGTTATGAATTGTGTCACCCCCAAAGACACATTGAAATCCTAACCCCAGTACCTGTGAATGTGATGTTATAGGGAAATAGGGTCTTTGCTGATGTAATCAAGTTAAGATGAGGTCATGGGGGTGGGTCTTAATCCAATATGACTAGTGTCCTCAGAAGAAGAGGAAAGTGCCCCAGGAAGACACATGGGGAGAACACCAGGTGAGGACAGACGCAGAGACTGGAGCCACACTGCTGCAAGCCAAGGACACTGAGGATGGCCGGTCACCACCAGAAGCTGGAGAGAGGGAAGTAAGGATGCCACCCAGGGTCTCAGAGGGAGCTGGCCCTGCCAATGCCTTGATTTGGAACTTCTACCCTCCAGAACTGTGAGAGAAAACTTCTATTGCTTAAGCCACCTAGAATATGACACTTTGTTAGGACAGCCCTAGAAGACTCATACAGGAACAGAGTCTAGAGAAAATTCGGGTGCATCCACTGCAGTGCTGGGCCCCACTTCCCTTCTCCTGCCACAACCCTTTCGCCAGATCCAGAAGGGTTTTGAAGGTGTGGGGAGGAAAAGAGTGCAGTGGCCAGACCCCATGGCCGGGAGGGGGCGCTGCAGGCAGAGCTGGGGGAAGGTTCCCGCAGCTGGGTGAGAAGGAGACAAGCCTAAAGGTTGGCTGGCGTCACCGTCAGGCCTGGGGTGGGCACCTTCCCGTCCAGATAAGCTCTTCCCCGATTTCGTGCATGGCTGGCATCTCTCCGTCATCCCCGCTGCTCCCTCCGCCGGCCCCGCCGCCACTGCCAGAGCCTCCGCCGCCGCCTCCTGCAGCCGCCCCGCCGCCTCCCCCTGCAGAGCCGTTCATCTGGCCTAGCTCCATCAGCGAGAACACGGATTTCCTGTAAGGAGCAAGGGGGCAGAAGACGATGGCGCTCCCAATCCTGGGACGAGCTTAGGCCCTCTAGAACTGTCCCAAGAACACCTCTTACCTCTCCAACAAAAAACATGAAATATCTTAAAAGACAGAGACAGATGCAGATGATGTCACGGTACCCATGCACAGGTCACCCAGATGTTACAGATGTTCACATGCAGCATATTGCTTTCTTTTCTTTTCTTTTTTAAGAAATAAAATGACACCAGGAGAAGAAATACCACAACCCCATCTATGCTGACCAGAAAAGCCATGGACAGACTCAGAACTCCCTTTGAACCACTTCCCTCCTCGCCACCTCTCCATCCACACACACACCTCTTATCAGCAGAGGGCACCTTCTTGGGGGGCTCAATTCGGATATTTGGGTCCCATTCTCCAGGAGGAAGGACAATGACCTCATCCAGAAACTCATCAATCCCTGCTATCAGGTCTTCCCGATTCCGGGCTTTATAGGCCACGTCACTGAAGAGCTGGCAAGGGAAGAGGAAGGGGACATCTTGCTGAGGTCTGCTTCTTAGCCACCTCCTGGGAGCACATCACGTATAGTGTCAGAGAAAATCCCTCTGAACCTTTACTCCTACCAGCTTACTCTGTCTGTAGGGAAGGAAGGACAGAGCCCTGCAGGTGAAATTCAGCACAGTGGGGAGCAGCGGGCCTTGGGCGAAGACCTGAAGGCCAGGTCTCCGTGTCCTAGCTGTAGGACTTTGGCTCAATCACCTAACCTTTCTGCTTTCAGTTTGGCATGGAGCAAGCTCATTTGAAAACCTGTTCAGAGCCCAGTCCCAAAATCTCAGATATTTTAGATCTGATTATAACTTCCTAGTGCCTCATCCTTGGAAGGTTAGGCTGCATCCTTCCAGATGTCTTCAGGGCGTTCTTTCTGACGTACAGATCCCACCTGTGTTGAACATCTTCTAGGCTCCCATTCACTCCTGGGACAGAGAGAGCTCTAGGCTGTGCCTCCAGGCTCCATGTCATCTCGGGCTCCCCTCCTGCTCTTGAAGTTCTTACACTGAGCCTAAGCTGAACCACTTTTATTCAGCTTCTCCATCTCCTAGCTTTGGCTCCTTTTCCCTTCATCTGGAATGCCTGCCTCTTAGGCTTCTGCAGGGTCGACCTCACTCCTGCTCATCCTTAGTGTAAAGCCCTCTCCTGTGTGAGGCCTCGCTTGGCTGCCAGGACAGTTAGCATGTGGTTCACTTCAGAATTACAGGTCTGTCCCTCCCCCTTGATTGGTGCTTCTAAAGGGCAGTGACGGCCCCGATTCTCATAACCCTCAGCGCCCTGCACAAGCCTGGCAACACAGTAGGTGCTCCAATGGGCCTGTTGGATAAGTGAGTGAATGAAGGCCCAGTGCTTGATGCAGGAGCCATGACAGTCAGGAGTACATGCTTCTCGTTACCACTTACATCGTCTACCATGAGGGTTGCAATGGCACGGCCAATTTCATTGTAGGATTTTGCTCTCCCAGAAGGTCCAAGCAGTATGAACAGAAATCTGCAAAGAAGAGGAAGGAGGAGGAGGTGGAGGAAGCGAGGACAAATTGAAGCAGGTGAAGAGAGGGATTCTCTGGCCCTGGACATTATTCATTCTTAACTCATGAATTGACCACACACTTGTCCCTTCCCTCCTTTGAATCCCGTATTTGCTCCGGAAAGACATCTCTTCTTTGCTTCCACCAGCTTCGCCTTGAGCATCCTCACCATTGTCTTGTTGCCCAAACCCAGCCAACAGTGTCTGTCTCAGCTCCTTCTTTTTTATGATTATTTTAAATTAACTCTAAAACTCTCTCCTAGTCAGAAGATTTCCCTCCCCAGCAATTGACTGATTTTCCTTCTATATTTTAGGGATGTTTCCAACAGCCCTTTGTGCCCACTACATGGACAGCTGGTTTCCCTCAGGCAGGTGAGGGGGGTCAGATTTCAGTGGCCCTCACCTGGTGGGGACAGGCACCTCAGTCACTCCTCCCAGCATGGCTGACTGGATGAGACGCACGAAGGCGATGAACGGCTGGTCCAGGAAGTCCACCTCGCCCACGAGCACGTTGGAGGCTTCTGAGTCCTTGGGGATCTTCTTCATGAATTTGTTTTTCCGCTGGTCAGGGAGAGGGGAAACAAGATGCCCATGGATACTCTCATCAGTGGTTTTAGCTCTCATCCAGATTGCTGTGAAGGCCTGACTTTAAATTCTCCAAGCATTTCTCAGGAGACTGAAATAACCAAATACTTTGCCCTATTTCTGGATGAGAAGACTCAAAATGGGTTAACACCAGGACCAAGTGAACAGGCAACGACTGGATCCCTAAGACATTCCTTGATGGGTGGCAACTTTGCTCAATTGCAGTGTGAGCGGAGGGGTCAGACAAGAGAGCCCAGGCTTGCTGGACAGCAGGCCTCATCCCCCAGCCCCCTGCGGCCCAAGCAGATGGGAGTTGGCTCTTCCACAATGGGTGTCCGGCCATGGAGGAGGTGAGACTGTGTGCTGCTCTTCTCTGTCCAACAATTCCCAAGCTCAGGGACGGCTGGCCCCTCACCTGATATGCTTCTCTGTCCCCCACTCCCCCTAGTGCCTGGCATGGCACCAGCATATGGGGCTTGGTCAGTACCTGACTGATGGGCTGGCTAGTCACCAAGGCAGCCCAGAGCCCCCACCCGGGTCCTTCCTGGGGACTCCTACTCCCTCATGGGAGTGAAGTTCTGTCTGTAGGGCCTCCCTGCCCCTGAAACCAAAGGCGCCTTTCTGCCCTGGGCCTTCACTGCAGCCAAGTGTAGGGTCTACCTGGTCTGTGTTTGGGGTGCGAGAAATATCATTCATGCTTCTGCTCTGGGCGTGACCTGGGAGAGAAGGAAAAGAAGGGGAAGTCAGGCTCTTGCAGGTCCTTTTCCCTTGGTCCCTACACATGCTTCTCCTGGCTTCATAACCAAAGCAAGACCCCCTCCCCCTCATCCCTCAGCCCCTGGAGCTAGCCTCTGCTCCCTCTTCTTCTCTCTCTTCCCTTCTCACTCCTCAGTCTGCTGCTCGCTACCCCTCCGCCCAGCCCCCTTGGGCAGAGACCGAGATGTCTGCTCTGTGCCAGGCCCTGAAGGAGGGGAGGGACACAGACACATTATCAGGTGAGGTGCCAGGTGTCACTGAGCTTGGACTTGGACTCCCCCATGACCCATGTGCGTGTTGCAAGATGGTCAAGGATTTGGCCGGCAGAAGGAAGGAAGGCGGGGCTCTCTTGTGGGGAGAACAGTGATGGCAAATTATCTGAACTGCCCAATGGTTCCTTCCCCCGTTAAGGGAGGAGAAAGTCAGCTCTCATTCCCCAGCAGCAGCCACATCCAATGGGCATTCTCAGACCTGTTATTTCTTGGCTTTCTGTGGCCTGTGGCATACTCTAGCTGCCAGAACTCTGCCCTCTCTTGGCTCCCTTCTTCTTACTTGTATCCAGGATCCTCACCTGCTGGGCTCAGGGCCTTGCTTTGCCTTCACTCCCTGCAGAGGCTTCACCCCCTTCATCCCCCATTGCTTCATACCCACCCTGGGCTGAGGATGTCCAGATTGGGTCTCCACTCTATACCTCTCTCTCGAGCCCCAGAATCCACTGGGCAGCCCCACCTGGCACCTTAAACTCAATGCACCGGGATCATGGTTTGCCTCTGCTTAAAACTCAGAGGTCCCATTACCTTCACAGTAGAGGCAGGGAGGGTCCTTTTGCAGGGCATGTGGGCCCTCTTCAGTTTGACCCTCTTGCCCTCAGGCCCTGCCCTTCTCATGAAGTGAACTGCCCCCTTCACAGTGCCTTCCTTCTGCTGTTCGTTTCTTTTGTTTGGAACACCCCTCTCCTGCGTCGCCCCCACCCTACCACGTGCTCCTGGAAAACCCCTATTTGCTCTCCAAGACTCAGGCGTGTCTCCTCTTTGAGCCTTCCAGGGGCCACCCCGGGGTGGGATGGTGTGCACACAGGACATTTTCTCCAGGCTTCCTTCACTGCAGTGTTGGCCATAACGGTGATCTCAGACACAATGAACAACTGGGAGGCAGGCTCGCCCCAGAGCCATTCGTTGCCTGCCGCCTCCTGGCATCCCTATGTGGACCTGGGGACCCGGGGCCACCAACAACAGAGAGAAAAGACTGTAGCTGAGCCCTTGGCCAGGGCCCACACTGCCCTCCAAATCATTCCTTGGGCCTGGTCAGGGCACAGCTGACATAACTTATTCATATCTTGGCCTTTTAGTAAAAGTACTTAAACAGGAACATACTCTTCTCACTCTTTTCTTTCCATTTTGCAGATTCTCTTTTCTTTGCTTCACAGCTCACCTGTGTGTTCCCTCTGATGAACTGCCTGAAAAGCCCTGTCTGTGACCGTTCACCTCACAAGTACCCTCACCCATTCCCAGGATGCGAGGGGGGCTGTGACTGCCAGCATCCCATGGTCGTGGTGCACAAGGCTGTCATCCAGGCATGGCAGAGGAAAGTCCCTAGCCTGTTTCTAATTCAGTTTCGAGGAACGCTTCTTACCAAAAATGGGACTGATGACCATTCTGGGGGAAACAAAGGTACAGACTAAGACAAAAATGCCTAGCACCATAGGATTGGGTACTGATTATGCCAGCATTTGATTTAGAGTTGCATCTGTCAGAGCAGTTACCTAGACACTTAGGGTAGTAAGTTAGGCCCCAAAGACAGCCCGGGTTTGGGGTGAAGGTTAGATTTCTCCCAATGCCTGTCCTGGGAATTCTAGACAGGTCCTGGCCTTTATCTCCCCCACCCACGAAAGCTTACGGAAGCTGGCATTCCCCAGCCACCACAGGCAGCTGCTGAGAACACACTCACACAGCCGGCCGTAACTGGCACTTTGCCGCATCCTCAGGTCCTCGGTGGAGTGGTGGAGGCTCGGACCAGCTGCTGGGCTCCGGGCCGGGCTGCGATCTGGGAGGAGGAACAGAAGGGATTTGGCGTCAGCAGCCTTGCTGTCAGCATGGCTTACATTTCCAGTCATTCTACCTGAACAAAGCTGGGCTTTGAGACGTGTCTCTTCCCCTTTCTGGAAGAAAGCCTATTTTGGTTGTTTTATATTTTGCTTTTGAGTAAGTTAACAGTCTGAACAAGATTACAGAGAAAATATTTGTACTCTTGAGAATGAGATAGATACACAATTGTTAAATAGGCAACCGGTGTCGTAGACAGCTGGGTTCATCCCTGACTCCACCACTTACTAGCTGTGTGATCTTAGGCAAGTAACTTAGTCTCTTGGTGCCTCAGGCTGCTCATCTGTAAAATGGGGATAACAAGAACAGTACCTAGCCACAGGGTTACTGTGAAGATGAAGTGAGTTAATACATGCGAAGCACTCAGAATAGTGCCCGGAACATGCTAAGTGCCGATTCTACACCTGCTGTTATTATCATATGCTAAACACTTTCCATCTTAAACAATTCATCTAAAGAGATTCCTTAAGATTCCTTCTTTAGCAACCTCATCAACTTTGTTCTGATTGCTGCATTTATCTGGCAGGTTCAGCAAGGCTACTGTCTGGGCATCTCGACTCTGCAGTATCAAGAGTGGAGAGTTGCGGGTTGGAGATGTGTGCTTGGAACAATCCACTCTCCCTAATGGCCCCAGGCTCTGTCAATCACAGTGACACAGCTGCCAGATTTACAAGCCCTGGCACACTTGAGATGAACCCAGAACCTTCTATCGCCTTGATGTGCTTCATTTTCTGCCAAGGCTCTTGGCTCTTCTTGGGGGTTCAGTGGGAGACTTTCAAGCTCTTTCCACATACATGCCATCTCTACCAGCATTTTGCAATCCTAACCACACAAGAGAATCTCCTGGGGAGCTTTCTAAACTCCCTGTTCCCAGGCCATCCCCCAGATCAACTGAATCCAGCTCTCAGGGTGAGGCTGAGGCACTGGGACATGTTTCATACCCCCAGGTGATTGCCATGTGCAGCCCAGGCTGAGAACCAGCTCTCTTCCTAGGACTAGTTCTGTTCTGCTGCTGGGGACCACACTGGGGTATGGCTGAGGTCTCTGCAGGCATGCCATAGAAGGAGGTTGAGGGATCCCCAGAACCTCAGAATTTCTCCAGGATCATGAAGTTCAGGAAGCCTCTACATTGCCAAGACTCTCCAGCCACCAAGGTGGGCTCACCCAGACCCTGGGACTTGACACCAGCCCCCACATGCCCACTGCCCACCAGCATATGGCCCAACTCACTGGTGGTGGAGGAGACAGACTTTCCAATGTCAACCAAGGAGCGGTGGATGGGCTTCTTGGTTTGGTGACGGTGTTTCCTCAGGAGGACATAGCTGACCCTCTCCCGGAGCTCGGGCCGCAGGAGGCCGTCTTCAATTTGCTTCTCAATGACGTCATCTAAGTGGGGAACAGACATGCCTCATCTATGTGGGACAGACGGACCAGGAGTGTGGGGGTCTTCAGTTTCATCTATTATCAGTGGGATTAAAAGTGACTAAAGGAGGCAGGAGATGTGGAAATAGTCCCAGCTTTGCCACAAACTGTGGAAACACGAGCAGGTCACAGGCCTTTGGGTATGTGCACACGTGTGCGTCTGTTTGTGTGTATATACAATTCTCTGCTCTATCGGCACTATTGTGAAAAGTCAATGAAGTAGCCTAAGAAGCACAAAAGTTCTGTGTTCGATGGTTTTAGTCCTAACATGAATTCCTTTTAGAAAAGCATTTGGGACAAAATACTTGTGGCAAATTTGAATGTAGTAGAACAAAATTGGCAAAACGTTTTAGGGATAATAAGGCCAGCCTTATTGTCTCCCTTCACCGCTCCACTAAATGAGAGCTAATTTCCTAAAGATGCATGATGATCCCTTTACTCTGACAAGAAACAGGTTGCCATGGCAATAGGTTATCTCTGATAACGCTAGGAAGCCCCTCTCCTTTTTGCTCCCTTGCAGGATGGCGTTTCAGAGAATGAGCTTTACATGGGCCCCAGACCTGGAGCCATTGTGCCGCTGTCTTGGGAGTGTCAGACCCAGAGCCTGGTGTCCGCAGAATCAGGCGGGCGTCACACAGACCAGGTGTGGGCACAAGGCTGCCATGGCTTTCTGGGGCCCCGGTGGTCCCTGCCTCACCTATGATCTGTGGTAAGGAGCCGCTGTCCAAATCCAGCAGCACCGTCCCCGTCTGCAAGCAGGTCCGCAGCTCGAAGAGGCTGTGAAGCGACAGTGTGGACACGTGGGGCTTGCTCCAGCGTTCGCCTCCTTCCTCTACCTTTTCTTCAAACTTTATCCACCTGGAAGGGGTTAGGATGGGGCTCAGCGTGGCCTCTGCCCTCAGGAGCAGCCCCCACGAGGTCTCCTTGGGGCAAGGGGTGATAGCTGGCAAGTCATGTGCATGCGCTGCATGTTGTTGGGACATTGGTGCTAGACTCACAGGCAGAAGATCTTGGGAACCCTCCCACTCTCCCCCTCACTTCTCCTGATGTTGTTGTGCTCAGGGCAAAGTGACATTCCAGAGGAAGACCATACATGGGCATGAGGGGTCTTTTTGGGGGTGGCAGAAATGTTCCCAAACTGGATTTAGTGATGGTCGCACAACTCTACATTCACTAAAAAATCATTTAATTGTACATTTAAAATGAGGGAAGTTGATGATAACCTATAATAATAAAGCTGTTTAAAAAAAAGTATCAACTGGAGCCTGGCTACTCAGGGCCAGTCACACCTGTGTTCAGTGTCTGCCTTATGGGGTGTGGTTTGCGGGGAGCAAAGAAAGCGTTCCTGACAAAAAAGCATTTCCCCACGGCTTCTGCTGCAGGGCCTGGGGATTCTACAAGTCCACTCTGGGCTTTGGTTCTCATAGTTCATATTAAAATCCATATGTCATCTGGGGAAGGAAAGAAATTAGACCAAGGATGTATAGGGATTTGTTCTTTCTAGAGGACAGAATCAGAGGCTGGGTGGAGGAGCCGAGTGGGAAGGCCCGAGACAGCCCAGCAGAGGGCGGCACCAGACAGCCTGGAGAGCTGCCAGGAGCACCAGGCCAGCAGGCTCCGTTTTGCAAGACGTCAACCCCAAGTCAGTGGGTAGGTTCAAGCTATTCCAATCAAAATCCCAAAAGAGTAGTTTTGGACCACGTGACTAATTCTGAAGTTCTTCTGAAAAAGTAAATGTCTGAAAATGGTTGGGGAATGTCTAAAAAAGAAGAATGGGGACGGCTACGCTGTCAGCAGAGAAACTTGCCTAAAAGCTGGAGCCTGGATTCGCAATTGAGGGGGGGAAAGATGGTGGAAGAGTAGGGAACCCTATTTCAACTGGTCCCCAGAATTGAGCTGGATATCCACCAGACCACTCTGAGCACCCACGAAACCAGCCTGAGATGTAAGAAGATCTGGATCTCTACAAGCAGAATATCGCAGGCGGTTGGTTTTGAGGTACGGGGAGCTGTGATTCCGCGGGCAGATATCAGAGGATAAACAGCAGCGGGAGGGTGCCTGGCCATGGGGATCCTACACCGCTGGTGAGTGACAGCCTCGCGCGCTGGGGGCGGGCACAGACTCTCAGACCGGTAGCGGCAGGGAAAGGACTTTAGGGCAGCCCCCGGGGTGGAAACCTGGAATGGCGGGGTCGCACCAGCGAACTGGGAGTGGCTGGCGGTTTTAGAAGCGCAAAGGGCAGAGACGTGGCCCGACCTGGAGGTAGGACTGGGAGCACTGCGGAGGGGCGCACAACCCAGGACACTGCAGTTTATAGCAGCATGGACAGAGATGGAGACGGTGTGGCCTGGAGAGCTCACTGAAGAACAGATTGTGGTCTCTCTGCTCTGAGGCAGAGGGTTGGAAACGGTCTCTTCTGCTCTGACTTGCGGAAGAGATGTGGAAAGCCGCCACGGAAAGCCACCAGAGAACAAAAGCCCCCAAAACTGATTCCCGCTGAGCCCATGCCCCGCCACAGGGGGGCAGGGCAACTCCGCCCAAACAGGGTTGCCTGAGTAACAGCGCGGCAGGCCCCTCCCGCAGAAGACAGGCTGGGAAAACAAGAGGCCAGCAACCCTAAGGCCCCAAGAAAACAGGTGCATCTTGCTTGAGTTCTGGTCAATAATTTGGACTCCATACATTCCCTCAAACACCCATCAACAGAATGACTAGGAGGAGGAGCCCCCAAAATAGAAAAGACTCAGAGATTATGACTTATGCTGCAGATTTACAAATGGATGCAGATATAACCAAGATGTCGGAGATGGAATTCAGGCTAGCAATTGTGAAGACAATGGCTAGAATGGAGAAATCAGTTAATGGCAACATAGAGTCTCTAAGGGCAGAAATAAAAGGTGAATTGGCAAAACTTAAAAATGCTATCAATGAGATCCAATCCAATCTAGATAATCTAACAGCTAGGGTAACTGAGCCAGAAGAGAGAATAAGCGACCTGGAAGACACTATAATAGATAAAAAGGGAAAAGAGGAGGCCAGGGAAAAACAACTCAGAATCCATGAAAACAGAATCAGAGAAATAAGTGACACCATGAAGCGTTCCAATGTCAGAATAATTGGAATCCCGGAGGGAGTGGAGAGAGAGAGAGGACTAGAAGATGTATTTAAGCAAATCGTAGCTGAGAACTTCCCTAATCTGGGGAGTGAAACAAACATTCGCGTCCTAGAGGCAGAGAGGACCCCTCCCAAGATCAAGGAAAACAGGCCAATACCCCGGCATGTAATAGTAAAACTTGCAAATCTTAGAACCAAGGAAACCATTTTAAGGGCAGTTAGGGGGAAGAGATTCCTTATGTACAGAGGGAGGAACATCAGAATAACATCAGACCTAACCACAGAGACCTGGCAAGCCAGAAAGGCTTGGCAAGACATATTCAGGGTACTAAATGAGAAGAACATGCAGCCAAGAATACTTTATCCAGCAAGGCTTTCATTTAGAATGGATGGAGAGATGCAGAACTTCCATGACCGGCAGAAACTGAAAGAATATGTGACCACTAAGCTGGCCCTGCAAGAAATATTAAGGGGGGTTCTATAAAAGGAGAAAGACCCCAACAGTGATATACAACAGAAATTTACAGGGACAATCTATAAAAACAACGTCTTCACAGGCAACATGATGACAATTAATTCATATCTTTCAATAATCACTCTCAACGTGAATGGCCTAAACACTCCCATAAAACGGCACAGGGCTGCAGACTGGATAAAAAGACAGGACCCATCCATATGCTGTCTACAAGACACTCATTTTGAACCTAAAGATACATCCAGACTGAAAGTGAAGGGATGGAGATCCATCTTCCATGCCAGTGGACCTCAAAGGAAAGCTGGGGTAGCAATTCTTATATCAGACAAATTAGATTTTAAACTAAAGTCTGTAATTAGAGACACAGAAGGACACTATATCATTCTTAAAGGGTCTATCCAACAAGAAGATCTAACAATTGTAAATATCTATGCCCCCAACATGGGAGCAGCCATCTACATAAGCCAACTGTTAACCAAAATAAAGAGTCATATTGATAACAATACGTTAATTGTAGGAGACCTCAATACTCCACTTTCAGCAATGGACAGATTATCTAAGCAGAAAATCAACAAGGAAACAAGAGCTTTGAATGATACATTGGACCAGATGGACCTCATAGATATTTACAGAACATTCCACCCTAAAACAACAGAATACTCATTCTTCTCGAGCGCACATGGAACTTTCTCCAGAATAGACCACATACTGGGTCACAAATCAGGTCTCAACCTATACCAAAAGAATGAGATTATTCCCTGCATATTCTCAGACTACAGTGCTCTAAAACTGGAACTCAATCACAAGAAAAAATTTGGCAGAAATTCAAACACTTGGAAGCTAAAGACCACTCTGCTCAAGAATGTTTGGGTCAACCAGGAAATCAAAGAAGAATTTAAACAATTCATGGAAATCAGTGAGAAGGAAAACACATCGGTCCAAAACCTATGGGATACTGCGAAGGCGGTCCTAAGGGGGAAATACATAGTCATCCAAGCCTCACTCAAAAAAATAGAAAAATCCCGAATTCACCAACTAACTCTACACCTTAAAGAACTAGAGAAAAAGCAACAAATGATGCCTAAGCCACACATTAGAAGAGAAATAATTAAAATTAGAGCAGAAATCAATGAATTAGAAACCAGAAACACAGTAGATCAGATGAACGAAACTAGAAGTTGGTTCTTTGAAAGAATTAATAAGATCGATAAACCACTGGCCAGACT